ATTGTAGCCACTCTGGTTGATGATTTTGTTCATCCCCGCCCAATCCCATATCCAGCAACCCAGCTTGCTAATTGCATAACTTAACTCACATCATGTTTTAATTGACAGCGAGGCCGGCTTTTGTCCTGGTTGGGAACTAATGCTGTCTTTTTTTTTCCTCTCTAAATCTTTTTTGATTGAGAAAGAGAACAATGGAATGCTCGTGTGGAAACCAATGGGAATGCCCTCCTGTCAGTCTGGCCACCATTAATGTCCCCCATCCTTTATACAGCAGCTGGAAGGTGACCCCAGACAGGTCATGGACCTTTCCAAATTGTGGGGGGGGGGGGGGGGGATCAGTGAGCCAGGCTGTGCTGTAGGCTGTTCCATGGGGTTATCTTCTGAATTCACAGCAGTTTTGAAATCCTGGGGAAAATAGATACAGACTACAGCTGTTCCTGTTGAGAAACTTTGTGTCCAGGATGTGGGGGCCGGACAGAGAAAAGTGTAGCTTATCCTCCTCATGTTCTGGCACCCCCCACCCCCCATCTTTGCTGGTAACCCCCTCTGCGTGTGAGCGGGGGCGGAGTCGGCGTGAGAAACTGCATCGGCCCTCTCTGCTTCTCATCAGCTGTCACAGCCGGTGGCGGCACCGAATTACACTTCACACACATCCCGAGTTGCCCGAGGAAGCTTCCCATGTGCAGGGGAGACAGAACTCTAAAGGGCTTCTCTGCTCAGGGTAAGGAAAGTCCGCAACTGCCCACTATGGTTCCCGGAGCAGCAGGAACGTTGCTGAGTGCTTAATGGTTTTTGGGGATGGTATGTTAAGTGTACAGCTGTCCCAGACATTGAGGGTGTAGAAGGGTCTGGCAGCCCCCTCCTTTGATATGGGGCACTGCCGAATCCCCTCTGGCGCTCCCGTAACACGGCACACATGAGTGCACTTGCTGAGGTACAGGGCCACAAAGCGCCTTCCCTCTGGGATGGATTACCTGCACATACAGGGACAGCAGCTCCCGCTCTGCCTCTTACGGAAAAGCGGATCTGCAGAGACACTCGCTTCCCTGGTGTGGTGGGCATGCCATCAGCCCTGGGGCCCTGATTGGCTTTGACAGCTTGTGCCGTCTCTCCGGCTCCAACTGCAAGCTCTGCAGTTGGCGGATTAAGCGGCCTGCTTGCCAGCCCTCTCTGGCTGCTGGAGCCACAAAGCCGAATGGCAGTGGCTCGCTCGGCTGCGCAGTAAGGAGAGGGAGACAAAGCTTTTCAGAGGGTCAGACCTCTGTGCCGTTAGCATTAATCACGCCGGTGCTGAGAGTGATGGTGTCCCTTCAAACACAGACTTCGTCTCTGTGTCAGTCAGCTGGTTTGCCTGTGGGAGGGGGGGGGTTGTATTAGGTTATGTCCTGAAACTGGATGGCCGCTTGGGTGGAGTTCTGTGTGTATGGTTGAAATTAGGCCGCCTCTCCCTCGCTGCCGTCCCCGGGCCGCCTCTCCCTCGCTGCCGTCCCCGGGCCGCCTCTCCCTCGCTGCCGTCCCCGGGCCGCCTCTCCCTCGCTGCCGCGTCTCAGGCCCTTGTCTACACTAGCCTTGACTTCTCGTGTTCCTGTTTGACTCCCCCACCCCCGTAACCCCCCTCCCCCAAGTCTGAAAACGAATTTCCCTAAACCCAAAAATAATCATGCTTGAGAGAATCTATTTATAATTCCTTTGCTTGTAGCCTGAAATTCTGAAATCTTTGTCGGTCCTGAGTTTTGTTGCCTTCCTGGAGTATGAAGCGACTGGGCTGCTTTTCACATCATACCACAGCACAGTTTGTTTGTTTCCTGCTAAATGGCACTTACTCCTGATCTGAGGCATCTGTTCACCCCATCATCCTGCCGCTTATCTATGGTAGACGGTGGATGTTCAAGGTTCACGGTTACTTTGTCATCAGCAGCTTCATACATGTACAAAGAGTGATGAAACAACGTTTCTCCATGGCCCCGGTGCAACATATAGTAACATCACAGTAACAGGGCGTGCAAGGTGCAAACAAGTAAATAAATAGTGCAGAGATGATAAATAGTGCAGAGATGTAAACTTCATATGATTTGTGCAGTTGCACAAGGCAGTTGGCAGGATTTACCCCAACATAAGACACCGCAAAGTGCAGTAACAGAATCAAAATACAATACAAACAATAATAGACAGGACGATAGACAGCATACAATTCCAATTTGTAACCGTGGAGGGACGTACAGTGAACCCCCGCCTATCGCGGAAGATGTGTTCCAGACCCATGAGCGATAGGTGAAAATCCACGATATAGAAAGAACATATAAATAAACATTTTTTTATAGTTTTAGCCTTAAAGTATCCCTCCCACACATGTAAACTTATTAAAACAACACATATGATATGTGGATGTTGGGCTAATATATGCACATCTCTCTCTCTCTCTCTGTTCATGGAATATGTAAAAATAAGAACATTTTAATAATGGTGAGCGACGTCCGCATAACGCTTTCCTTCCCGAAGCATATCCAGGAGTTTTACCTTCTCCTGAATGGTCAAGGTCTTCCTCTGGCCAGATATTAGTGTGTTCAGAGTTTTGATGCCTTGTGGTATGAAGCTGTTGCACAGCCTGGAAGAGGCGGAGCGGAAGCTTCGATACCGTTTTCCAGATATATATATATATATATATATATATATATATATATTTTACGCCCCCAGTGTACTGGCATGACTTTGCCTTTCTGGTTTCCTGTGTCTACATCTA